TTCATAAATTATGAATTCATGCCTGCACATTCACTTTGGAACCATGCCTACACATTCCCGTCCGAAATCACGGACATTCATAAATTATGAATCCATGCCCGCACATTCACTTTGGAACCATGCCTACACATTCACTTTGGAACCATGAGATTATGAATTTTCTGTTATAAAATTATGAATTTTCAGTTATGAGATTATGAATTTTCTGTTATGAGATTATGAATTTTCTGTTATGAAATTATGAATTTTCTGTTATGAGATTATGAATTTACATTACATTCATAATCTCATAACAGAAAATTCATAATCTCATAACAGAAAATTCATAATTTAATAAATATTTTACTTTTATGCGATTATGAATTTTCTGTTATGAGATTATGAATTTACATTATATTCATAATCTCATAACAGAAAATTCATAATTTGATCAAACGCGTGCCGTTAACTCCACATCCGCGATTTTTTTTTATTTTTTTTTTTGCCTAAAAACGACGTCGTTTGGACTTGTGTTTTCCAGGGCATAATTTGCCCACGCCTACCACATTGTGTTGCCCCACACGGCCACTCCACTCACACCTACCTCTTTCATTCTCCGATCTTAGTTCAAGGTTTTCTTCACTATCACAGCTTTGTATTTCTATTCACGATGAAGGCAGTCTCATCTCATCTATTCTTAGCAAGCTTTGAAACATCTTTGTCTGCATTTCTTCGTTATAATGCATACAAAATCAAGTATAAGCTAATGGTGAGACTTATTTTCAAATCTTGATTCTGAAGGCTAATGTGAAACAATCACTCTCGTTCTAGATAAGTACCAACTTTATATTCTTTTTATATATCTGTATCTGTATTTACATTTTTTAAAGTAGTATATTTCCAGATCAAGTTGGAAAACATGGCGATAGATGAACTTGAAATACTAGATCTGTATAATAGTGTATTTTTTTTAGTCTGAAGAGTTTAAAATGGAGATAGATGGAGATTAAATCCTAGATCTGGATCATGCATGAGGTAGTTGGTTTTTTTTAGGTAGTGATCTTACTGATCTAGTCCGTTTTTCTGACTGCTACAACATGTTTCTCACTTTTGATTTAAGTTTCTACCAGTTTATAAAACTAACAAATTCGTATTTTAGATCTAGTCCATTTTTTCTGACTATAACATGTTTCTAACTTTTGATTTAAGTTTCTAACAATTTCTAAAACTAAGAAATTTTTATTTTTATTTTTATTTTTTTTTTATTTTTTTTTTTTTTTTTTGCATTGCTACTGTTTCGGCTAGAAATTCAGGTTTTCTAAAAAATATTTTTTTTTTTGTATTTTCTGTGGTTTGGTGCTAGGTGTATTCTGGTTCTGGGTGCACTACTAAAAAATTCGTATTTTAGATCTAGTCGTTTTCTTTATACATTGTTACTGTTTCGTCTAGAAATTTAGGTTTTCTAAATTATTTTATTTATTTTCTGTGGTTTGGTGCTAGGTGTATTCTGGTTCTGGGTGCACTACTAAGAAATTCGTATTTTAGATCTAGTCGTTTTTTTTTTATACATTGCTACTGTTTTGTCTAGAAATTCAGGTTTTCTAAAAAAAATTTATTTATTTTCTGTGGTTTGGTGCTAGGTGTATTCTGGTTCTGGGTGCACTCTGCATTGATTGAAGGAATGGGCAGAGTCTTGTGTTGGTCCCGTTGGTAGAAAACACAAATAATAATCAAATTAAAATTGACTATTATTTTCTAGAAAGAAAGGAAGAAAAGATGAAGAAATTGGCTAGTGTTTGGTGTTGGGTTTTTGCAAGAGTCGAGTGAGCACTCTTTCCTTAAAACCTTATTTGCCACCTCCCAAAAGATGCTAGGAGCGTTGTGGCCTAGGCTTCCCAGGATAAAACTTGCTATGATTCAGTGTTTGAGCATTCAAACAAAGAATCCGGCGAGCAAGACGTGGTTATGAACACAGTATGGCTAAGAAGAGGAGTAGAACAGAGTGTAATCCATTGAGTGGCTCGAGGTTGTATAGTGAAAAGGCAGTATTTCTGACCAAAACAGTGTAATACATGTTGTAACCAAACGTCGCCGTATCATTTGGGCGGGAGTTTTTCAACAAAAAGATTAAGCTTTATTATAGTTAGGATTTATGAGTTAATACCCAAAATGGCCCTCCGACTATATCTTTTTCTCAAATTGGTTCTTTGATTTTAATTGCACCCAAAATAGTCCCTCGACTGTTGAGTTTCAAGCCAAAATGGTCATCCGTTTGCTTTGGTGTTAAGTGGGTGTTAAAATGAAGGGCAAAAGGGAAAATTTATATTGTTTGTTGTTTAGACCTTTGACCAGCCCATTTTTTATTTTTTTTATTATTAAAAAAAAAAAAAAAAAAAAAAAAAAAAAAAAAAAAGCTTAACCCTTTTGAAATGGTATTCTCATGGCTAACAAAAAACACTATGAAACATGAAAGTCATATGTTGAAATGTGGGACAATGTTGGGGTGGGTGGGATAGACCAA